CCTTCCTTGCCCGTTTTTAAGTCGCTTTAATGCTGGCACAGCTTCATTTGCGTTAGCACAGCCTAGTACAACAAAAAAGAATGCTGGTACAAGTAGGTATAGTCCAACACATACCATTTTAAAGTCACGTGATTTTTCTCTATCCTTGTTGAATACATCTCAAACAGCGGTGATAGTAAAATTGACAAAAAAATTGCTGTCTGATTATTGTTCATAAAATTCTTACCTGAAATAGAATCCGACACTGTCATCAATTAGTTTGTCAAAGTTATTTTAGAAAATGATACAACGAACAAACACAGCTAATAATTTTGACTATATTAACCTTTTTCCAACTCAAAAAGATTCAAATAGAAAACGGGTACCCAATTCAAGTTCAGAATGTATTACAAGGGGCAGCAGAAACGACAAAAGTGAGTCTCGCAGCAATTGCAAGTATTAAAATTCTCATCTGATTGGTCAATACTACTTCAGAAACGCTTTTGTAAAATGCTAGTGGGAACATATCTTAAAATTAAATAGTAATTAACCACAAGTAGCTTTTTGTAGGTGATATCAACGACATAATCAACGAACATACGTTTTTTGCCACCAATATCACGTTATAGCCTAGCACGTTCATTTTTCAATCAACCCAAAATTTAAATATAGAAATTATCCCCTAATTTATGCAGGGGTCGGGATAGACCTCTATCGCTTTACCATTTCTCGTCCGTTTTTAAGTTGCTTTATTTACTTTTTAATCAATCATTTACATACCTATAGTATTTTCAAAGTCAATTGGAACAAGGTAACAACTGGTGGCTGACTGGTCACTGATAATGTTCATAAGAAATGCACTGCCACTAGTCTGCCACCAGTTATACGATTTACTTTTACCTTGTTCAAATTGACTTTGGAAATACGGGGTGTCCCAATAGAAAGTGACCAATTTTAAATGCTTATGACTTATTTATGCATATAAGCCCTTGAAACCGGTCAGTTTCTATTGGGACACCCTGTACTATACCTACCTACTTTTTATTTGAAGAAATAATGGGAAGTTATTTTTGTTTTTTTAATTGAAAATGTACGTTTAGCTTTTTTTGATGGCAATTAAATTATTAACATTGAAAATGTTTATATTATCGCACGGGCACGTAGTATGGTGTACGAAATTCGAAATTCTTGTGTTGCATTTGTCCCATAGGTACGTCACAGAGACGGGGAAGGGATACGAAACGCTGCTGCTCGCAAGCAAGATTGAGCGGTGTTGCCGGATGATTTTTTTCAAAATTTTAAATGGTTAGTGAAAAGAAGAAGTAGGTAATAGTATATTATGCAATGAACGGTACGAACTGCCCCGAACGGTTCTAATTGCTCCGAAAAATTCAAAACTGCTCCGAATAATTCAGAACTGCTCGTAACAGTTCCAACTGCTCCAAACAGTTCAAATTCTTTCAAAGATTTCGAGATTTCAAACAGTTTAAACTGCTCCGAACAGTTTCAACGGCACCGAATCCAACAAAACGACCCAAACAGTTCAAACTACTCCGAACGGTTCATATATACTATTCATATACTATTACCTACTTCTTCTTTTCACTAACCATTGCCTAATATGGCATGCATACCATTTAAAATTTTAAAAAAATCATCCGGCAACACCGCTCAATCTTGCTTGCGAGCAGCGGCGTTTCGTATCCCTTCCCCGACTCTGTGACGTACCTATGGGACAAATGCAACACAAGAATTTCGAATTTCGTACCCCATACTACGTGCCCTTGCGATAATATAAACATTTTCAATGTTAATAATTTAATTGCCACCAAAAAAAGCTAAACGTACATTTTCAATTAAAAAAACAAAAATAACTTCTCATTATTTATTCAAATAAAAAGTAGTTAGGTATAGTACAGGGTATCCCAATAGAAACTGACCGGTTTCAAGGGCTTATATGCATAAATAAGTTATAAGCATTTAAAATTGGTCACTTTCTATTGGGACACCCCGTATTTCCAAAGTCAATTTGAACAAGGTAAAAGTAAATCGTATAACTGGTGGCAGACTAGTGGCAGTGCATATCTTATGAACATTATCAGTGACCAGTCAGCCACCAGTTGTTACCTTGTTCCAATTGACTTTGAAAATACTATAGGCATGTAAATGATTGATTAAAAAGTAAATAAAGCAACTTAAAAACGGACGAGAAAGGGTAAAGCGATAGAGGTCTATCCCGACCCCTGCATAAATTAGGGGATAATTTCTATATTTAAATTTCGGGTTGATTGAAAAATGAACGTGCTAGGCTATAGCGTTGCGCTGGCTACTAACTACGGTTCTATAACCGTTCTCATGACAAATCCCTAAAAGATCCCCGAAGGTTGAAAACCCCCCACGCCCCCAATTATGGCCTAATTATCATGAAAGTATACCTACTTGTACCAGCATTCTTTTTTGTTGTACTAGGCTGTGCTAACGCAAATAAAGCTGTGCCAGCATTAAAGCGACCTAAAAACGGGCAAGGAAGGGAATAGCGTTAACTTTCCCCACCTCTGCATAAATTAGGGAATAACTTCGGGAGCCTTGAAACAATGCGGGGGGGGCAAGCGTTTACCTGGCCCCCCTCCGCACTAACTAGGATATATTTTTGTTACCAGGGCCGGTTTAACCAAGGGTCTTTTGGGTGCAGTAGCACCAGGCGGCAAAATCTAAGGGGCGGCGCGCGAAGCGAGTACCGACCCTTAAAAATTTCAATGTACTCATCTTCTTTTTTATAACGTTTTTATTTCTTGAACCATAATACGAAAAGCAAAGCAAAAAGCTACAAGTTAGTTTAGGGAATACTACCCATACCTACGTATAGAAAAAATAAGTAAGTACAATTACGCCCGTCTCTATAGCCATGCCCAGCTCTACTTAAATTTCTGGAACCGTATCACTCGTGCGATAGCCGACAGCGATAACAGACAACAGTCAGCTCGCATCTCACTTATAGGGTTGCCAGATTTTCTAAATAGAAAAGCGAGAGGTAGTCCTTGGAAGGGAAAAATGTTTCGCCACGGGCGAAATTTTTTTGTGATGCCACACGGTTTCACAATAAGGTCTGTTCAAAATCCGCCAGAAAACCGTCCCAAGAACGGCTTCGGAACCACTCTGTATAAGAATTTCAGATTCTACGCACAAATTTTACGTTTTGCGCAGAATCATATATGACGGTAGAATGTAGTGAATGTACGGTTCCCTGCTGAGTTGGAACAAAGTTATACCTTTGCAGTACACTAGACTCAGACGTCCGAACGAGCTACGCTCTCAGTCTTGAGTAGTTCTGTCTTGAAATTGGAAACAAAGAGAGACAAATAATATCAAAGCGCACTCGCCTCTCGACGTTATTCGTAATGCACCCCGGTTGCGCTGTATTAGACTATCCAAAACACACAAATATGGCCGACAAGAGGCACACAAACATTTGACACAAACACAAACCATAACGTCATTAGGTTATGTCATTAATGATCATAATCAAATACTCATTTTCTATTGTGTGCGTCTCAATTTTTGTCCGTTTCTACCCAATTACGGAATCCCTATTGTTTGGGCAAGATTGCTCTACCTTCATTTCACTTGGACACCTAGGACCTACCCTTAAAATGTGAAAATTTTTATTTGTTGCAACTCCACCGTCCAGTGTTGTGCTACCTACTTCAAATAATGGATACAGGAGCATCTACAGAAATACGATGAAACAGGCAAGGAAGATTTTTACAATGAGAGGTTGGGCATCCGCATCCAATAAACAAAAAGAGTAACGACCTACGCGAAAAAAAAAAAGAAAAATACATATGTGGTTCCATTTTGAAAGCAGATAATATTAATTCATACTACTGTACGATTGCTCAGAAACTGAGTATCAAAAATAGAAAATCTTCTGGATGGCACGATATCTCAGTTAGGCTGTTGATGTGTTGGCGGATTCCATTATTAATTCTTTTCTTACCGGAAGTTTTCCCTCATTTTTGAAGCAATCTTGGGTAGTACCTTTGTTTAATAGGGGGGTGATAAGAATTTACCATCTTATTACCGGCCAATATCCTTACTGCCAACTTTGACTAAAATTTTAGAGTGGCTAATTAAGGTGGATGGTGAGCTTCCTTGATAGGCATAAATTGCTTTCTCTGTCTCTGTTTCAGCAGTCAAAAAACACTGATGATACCATATTTCATCTCCTGGATGAGCTGTATTAGAAGATAAATGACGAAGAAGTGGCCGCGGTAGTTTTTTGTGACCTGAAAAAAGCTTTCGATTGTGTCTGTCATGAAGTACTGCTTCTAGGGGTTCAGTTTTGCGAATATAGTATATTGAGAAGAACTTGGGTTACTTCATCCCCGCCCCCCCCCCCCCCCCCCAAAAGATCAATGTTCAAGTCGCCTATAATAAAGTGCGTATCAGTAATTATATCTTTCACCGTCTCCAAATAACCGTTTAAAGCGAAAACTAAGCTATTGGCATCTTGGGATGGAGGTTTGTATATAGCAGTTATTATAATTTTCTTTTGATCAGATGTTATTTCAACATGAAGAGCTTTGCATCCATCTAACAACACATTCCTAGCAGAGTAACTTAACTTATTATTTATATAAAAAATAACCCCATCATTTATATTGATATTTCCTTCATTGTATAACAAATCGTAGTTTTCTATGTAAAACTGTGCTTTATCAGACATCTTGAATGTTTCTGTTAAAATAATGCAATCGAGAGGGCTATCCAGTTCTGAAAGATTAACCAAAAGTTCATTTAAATTCTTATTTATGCTTCTAATATTCTTATGAAAAATTTTAAATAAGTTTGAATGCGTATTTTTATTTAAATGATTTATATAATCAGAAAATAATTCAAATTCTTTTGTATTTATAAATTCGTAATTAAAATCTCGGAAAAATTCATGGTTATCAATTTTCAATTATTTAAAGACAAAATTACTTACTAGACTCATTTTTCCTAGACTAAAAAAAAATTATCTATTTTTGGTTGCTGGATGATGTAGATCCAGACCGTAACTTCTTTTTTTCAACTTGTATCAAGTTTGCTGGAGCCTTGTTTCCTATCTTATTTTTGATTGTGTTTTTATTAGTATCGTCGTCTTGGTTACCTTTATGTTGTGCAGCTTTGATTTTTTCTTCAGTATGTATTTTAGTTTCTTCTGCCTTCAAAGGAACTTCAAATTCTGGTTCCTCAGTGATGTAGACTGTTGGAGTTGAGGGTGCACTATTATTTTGGCGGTTATTTTCGCACTCCATCAGAAGCAAGATATCCTCTTCACTCAAAATTTGGCCGTGGGAAGTATGTAGTTTTTCTCCTTTGATGTATGCTTTTTCGTCGGTGGTGGTTTTTAGTACGTTAAGATTGTCTTTATAACTTTAGGTTTTCGAGATGAATCTGGAGAAAAATTCTCATTTCTGGAGAACGTATAAAATCTGCAATATTGCTTCTTAATTTTATTACTTCTATGAGGGCGTTACAAGATTTTTGAAAATTTTAATCGGTAGGTACAATAATTCGATGTTTCTAAATTGTCATTGCTACGCCATTATGAGAACGATTCTACCGTCATATTTGAATATGCCTTAGTAATAATTTGAATAATATAATCTGGTGTTCAAGATTCTTTCAAGTGAATAATTTCGGGACTGTTGCAACCAACATAGCGTAAAAATTAGTAACAACTTTTCGACGTAAAAAGGCAAAATGCACCGTATAATATACGTATATATATATATATATATATATATATATATATATATATATATATATATATATATATATATATATTCGTATGTAACACTGTGCGAGAGGGTTTAATATTTCATAACGAAGTCGTGTGTCACTGTTGACGCTAAATAATGCACAAACACATATTTTAACCGGGGAAAATGTCGGAAAACTTCTGCAAACTTTGTTGCTGCCATATTGAAGCTTTTAAAGAGGTACCGAGTGTGATAATTTGAATTTTGTGTCAGGACTGTTACGTTTCAAGGAAAATTTTAGATTTTGGAATGGAAACACAAAAGCATTACGTTTACTTTGAAAGTGTATCGCAAAACTTTAAAAAGAATATTATCAACTAATAAAGAACAATTTTTAATTTTATAAGTTTTAAATCATACCATTATCGTGTTTCGAAAATAAGTACTATCCACTCTATTTAATTAGGTATGTTATTTTAAAAACAATTCAACATGCTAAATTAAAACGGAATAAAGCAATTCAATTAGTCAAAGAATCCAAGTGCTAATGGTCTTATTTTCTCAAAACACAAACAAAACCTAGATTCCAAGTTAAAGTAAGTACAAAATATCTTTAAATTCAAGTATTCGAAACGTTTTTGTTTCAAGTTTAAAATACATTTTCTCTCCATTATACTTTTTCTGTTGGAATTAAAATAGATATTTTGGGTTCAATTAGTGCTAGATGGGGCTTCTCAACTTCGTAACATTTCTTACACTAAGTATGTTATCGTTTGCTAACATAACTAAATTTATTTTTCAATTCTTTTAAGCGTTTACCTTAGTGGAGATTCAAATAGACTGCACAGCAAAGAATATAGAATGTGGAAGTACAATTTTTTCATAATGTTTTCTCTGTTGATGTTCCATCCAAAATGTGGCAGCTAACAGCAAACAAAACTGCAGCACCAAACGATTTGTTCAATAACTTGACAAAACATACAAAACTAAAGCTTAAACTAGCGAGCAATAATGGAAACTACCAGGTGATGATTTACAATGGCATAATTTGTACCTAACATCAGTTAGCAACGCGCGTGTTTGTAGTTCGGCTCTTCAAACACTGCCTTTTGCGTTTGACAATAAACAGTTTTACAATTGTTAATGGTTCAGGTCCTGATGCTAACGCAATCAATCGTCCGGTGATGCATGTAACGGCGTAAATGGAGTTGAAGTAAATTAGGTTAAAAAACGGGGAACTGGTGTTTCGGATTTACGGCACTAAGTATTTGAAATGTCGATAAATGATGATTTACGTTTCATTTTCTTTGATTCATGCTTGAGCTAACTGAATTTTTCTACTATAGGTATACTAACACAGCAGAATGTAGATAAAGAGTTTGCGCTCAGCGGATAAACATCATAAAGAGGAGTCGAATGTGTCACATGAAAGAGACACCTCGACAGATCTATCTTGCTCTGGTATCAATGTGGACAGGTTGATCGTTTAGTTTGTTTTTAATCAACAAAAAAAAATTCTCTATTACCTACAGGCACTAGGAGTTTATATTTTCTCCTCAAATAGTCCAATTAGGTACCTCATGGCTTTGGCTATTTGAAATCACACGGTTTTTTTTTTTTCAACCTGACAGAATATGTTGAAAACGAATTGAGAAATAACCAGTTCAGAATGGCAATTCAACTACCCGGGCCGCGTATTACCATTGTTTACTAATATACAGAGCAACTGTGCTCCGAAGCGCAGTAGTTAACCCACATAACAAAATTGCATCCTTAGAATGTAATAAGAATGTTTTTTTTTTTAGGAGGCATGTGCCTAGAATGTTCGCCAAAACCATTGCGAATGTCCTGAGAATGTTCTGAGAAAAGATTGTAGAAATACTGTTTGCAATACCCAAGAACTTCCTGAGAAATCCATTAGGATATTCCTAGAATATTCCTATGAGATTCTCAGTATATCCTGAAAAATATTCCTGTTTGATTTTAAAAATATGCTCGAAATGTACATTCTCATATTCAAAGAATGTTTCTATGACATTATAGTTATGTTCTCAAAAGAATATTATACCAATATGCTTGAAATATTCTTAGAATATATCTACATATTCTCAATATGCATCCTAGACATAACATTCTTGTTTGATTCTAAGTATATACTTGGAATGTTAATTTTCGCTTCCAAATAATGCTCCTTTCAGCCCTTTTATATCAAAGGCACTGAAAGAGTTGTTGGAAAACTTCTCTGGAAAACACAAGTGTTTATCCAAAGCTCCTTGTTATGCTCTCGTCGCAGAAAGCACGCCAATTGAGAGAAACAGTTTTCAAGGTGATTCAAACGTTAGGCAAGATGTAGATCTTTAATAGCGCGTGGCTCTCTCTCTTGGAAGTCCTACAAAGCAAGAGAAAAAAAATACAACTATAATATTCTTAGTAGGTTCTAGATAGAGCATTATTGTTTAATTGTTCAATTATGATTTTTGAGTAGGTACTTTAGATAATTAGGTGAACAATATGAAAATACTCTTATCATGGTTACCTACCTACATAAACTTGTCAGCACAACTTGGTAGGTATATTCTTAATACTTGATAGAGATATTAGCCCAAAGAACATTTTCTAGGGTACATTATAATAATGTTCATATGACAATATCCAAATAATGTTACATAAAGTAGGTTCTTAGCACAATCTTTCAGGTAGATGCATAGAAGCACCATTCCTAGTACATAAATAGAACGTTCAAAAATGAATATTTCAATCGAAACAATCTTAGAATATTCATTAAACATTCCTAAAAGAACATTCCAAAAAGCACTTTGAGGGAATATTCTGAGAATATGAATGTTCTTTCACTGTTATGTGGGAATGGATTTAGGAAATACGCGTATTTCAGATTGCCAATATTTACTGTGATTCAGCACATCGCCCAAACTATAATGTTATGAATCGCAGAAAATGTTGGCAATAATATAAACGCGTGTTGCTGATGGCCATTGCTTTCTGCATTAGAGCGCAGCCACACCTTGCGGCGACATCTTATCTTGTCATCTAGTTAATTTAGGGACTTCGACCTCGAAAGAGGAATTATTTTAACCTATGTTTTAGACAAGTGCTTTCAATTTTTTTTGCTATTTATCGTTAGTAGTAGTCTCGTTTGTATAATTTTCTGTTCCAATGGATTCAATGAATTATAAACATATTTTAACTGATATCTGTAGCTTTTCTAGTTCAAAACTACAACAGTTTCAATGTAATTCAACTGGAAACGGTTTTGATGCTTCTGTAAGGGTTAAGACACTACAGATCTCCATGAAGAGAATAGTGCTTGGTGTGATAGGTGGATTGCCGAGTTTAGTCGCAAGACTTGCACTAATTGGATTGTGGGTTATACTTATCCCTCTGCAAAAAGATATATTTATCGAAAAGTATTTAAATGTCAACATAACAGCTTTAACAAGGCTAAAAATAGGAAACGAAAAGACTTGGGAATGCGGGATAAAGAGTGCAATGCCACCATTGATATTCTTTTTAAGAAAATCAACAAGAATACGATCAAGAACGACGAACTGTTGAAAAGCGGATTTAATGTTTGTATCAGAGTAAGTAAATATTATAATTTCTTAGTACTGATTGATAGGTACCTTAGTAAACAAGTTCACTCCCGAACAATGAATTCCGGACAAGAATAATTCTAATCAATTTGATTGCCCTGTATCTTTTCCAATTATATGTTTTTTTTCCATGAAATTTTGTCCCAGTTTAGACTAATATTTTGGAACATTATCCTGAACATTAGCATTAAAATACCTACAAGCTATCATGATATTGGCAAACAGACTGTTTTTTGGTGCCTTATTGGCAAAATTGCAAGTTTTGCCAAACCTTCAATTCGCCGTTGGGCTTTGTTTGTTTTTAAGCCAGCACCAAAATCAAGAGCTAAGGTAGTTTGGAATGACGCAAGCTAACGTCTATGAAATTGTGAAAAAAAATATTTTTCTACAAACGTGTTAAAAATGCAATTTTGAACACCCCCTCGAAGCATTAAAAATGTTACTTTATTGCACTAGTGTTAAAAGTCTTTAAGGCACTAGTGTTAAAAATGAAACATCAAAATTTGAAAGCAAACGTCAAAAAAAGTTTTTATTTTTAATTATTTACATTAATATTAATGGTAAAATTTGAACAACTGAGGAAGCTCCATCGGCCGCCTCCTCTATATTTTTCAAGGGATTGATGCAACCCTCTTTTTCTTGTGTATTTTGTTGCATTTTTAGCAAAAAGCTTACTGACCACGATAGACCATACGACAGACTTTCAAGAAACTGACGAGACATTTCATTACCTGTAAAACAAGGTGCTGGTTGTTTGAATTTTTTGACAAATATATCAAATTCAATAATTTTACGTAGGAAAGATGCTTCCAATTTATTATTCATTTAAAAATCCAATTTGTCACTGGTTATTGCTTGTTATTGCCGTTTGTAGAAAAAATATTGTATGATATTTGTGTTAAAAGTATTTTTAAGGCAGTTATGTGAATTGCAGAATTCGCTTCGCTCATTCTACAAACTTTCACATGCGTGCCTTAAAAATGTACTTTTAACACTTATATCATAAATAACTATTTTGTAACTCAGTTACGAAATGGCATCTTTTTGGCATT